AGAAATATTAAACCGCAGTCTTCGTAACAGCTCAAGTACCATACGTTTGCCCAAGCCAAACACAAACAATATGAAAAAGAGTTTCATGTATGATGGAGCTTCCATATGGAACTCTCTTCCAAAAAATATAAGAGAAAGTAATTCGCTTTCAAGTTTTAAAAGAAAAATCGCTACCTATAGCTTATAAAGAAAACCACATCATTGTAAATAGCAAACTTTTTGTATATATTTTAATAATTTTATATTCTGCATGTTAATACGTCCTTATTATTTTACTTGTAACAATTTGTTAATGTTTTTTACACGCCCATTGTGGAAACCAGCTTCTGCTGACAATGTTAGCGTGGTTAAATAAAGTTTATCATCATCATCAATATTTGAAAAACATAGAAAAATATTAAAGTTAAATGTCATTGAAAATTCGCGTCGCGTTGCCAAATCGCGTCCGGTCTGTGTGGGCCTTAAAGGCCCGCACACACCGGACGCGGCGCGGTGATTTTGACATCGCGGCGCGGCGAGTTTTGTATCGCGGCGCGGCAAACTTAAAATCAATATAGTGTATTTGGTAAGAATTCAAACCTGACGCGAAGAGGCGGATTTTCGCTTAGCGATATAAAGAAGTTCGCTCGCAGGGCGATCTTTTTCGCGCTGCAAGATAATTGTATCGCGCTGTTTCGACCAGTCACAGACAAGAAAAAAATCAAGAAAATATGCCAACCCAAGAAAATATGGCGACTCCAACAATAGATGAGCAGCTAATTTTGTTGGTTCAAAATTATAAGGTATGACAAAACGAGTTCATACTATAAAGACAAAGAACTGAAAGAAAACATCCGGACAAGCATTGCTACGGAGCTAGATATTGATGGTGAGTGGCAAGACTGAAGTGTATGTCCTGAGTTATGCACGAACATTTTTTTGTTAGAAATTTAACTTTGCACATTTCAAACCTCTTTCCTGACAGTGAACTTTCTTAAAAAACGGTGGAAGAATCTTCGTGATACCTATGTTAAGGTTAAAAGAGTTGATAAAGGAAGAAGTGGGGACGGAGCAAGTAAAAAAAAAGAATGGAAATACAAAAATATTTTGTCTTTTTTGGAGCTATAAGTCGAATATACAACAAGGTAAAATTATTTGATTGCAGAATTTGTTGTTTTGTACCACCAAGTAAGGTCCCCATTTGCCAAGTTATTCTTAATATTCAGTACCAGCCGACATAATATTTTATTAACTTAATTTGTAGTACTTCTTCAAACATGATTGAAGTAATCACAGAAGACAAAGATTTGACTGCAGATAACACTGCCATTCTTTGTACACACGAAGATGAAATGGATACTGCTTTATTCCCTTTGGAGGTAGAGGAAAATGCACCCAAAACATCTAGCTCACGACCAACAACTCCTATGGGTGTCACCCTAAATCAGCTGACAAGACACGAAAGCCACGGGATGAAGTTTCAGAAAAAATTATAAAATATTTGGATGCAAAAAATAAGAAGCCTGAAACTGGAAAATCTGAAGAGGAAGTCTTTGCCTTGAGCATTGTCCCTACCTTAAAACGCATGACAGAGCAACAGAAGCGACTGGCTAAACTTCGCATACAGAAGGTGCTGTATGACATTGAATTTGATACTGATAACTAAAGAGTGCCAAATATAGTTTTAGATCTCCTTCCCAAGATCATGTTCTGTGGATTCTTATGTTATCACTTTATAGTCAAAAATTACTATAAACGTTTTTTTGTAAATTTAGCCCTTCGAAAATAAAATATGTTCCATTACGACTGATCAAAACAGTTTAATTATATAATATAATAATATGATATACTTAATTTACAGTTTAATGTAATAATATTATATGCTTAATCTACAGTTTAATGTTATTATTGTTATACATTGTTATAGGCCACTGTCATCAGATACTACGGTTAAATCCTCTCTGGACTGTAGTGTATTGCCATTGAACGTCTCCATCACCCATGCAAAAATAGACTTTAAACTTATCCCTAACAGAATATGCATCAGCTGATGCTCTACATCCCATATTTGTAAGATTTTGCATGGCTTGGTATTCTTGAAGGCTATCTCTTTCATCTTGAACATTAATTGGTGTGCTATTACCAGTAGATTTCTGCAAGTAGTTGTCGAGAACACTACATGCCTGAACAACCTTTTCACATTGCTCTGGGTGTAAATTAATACGCCTCTGAAAGATACGCCATCGCTGAGCCAATAATCCGAATGCATTCTCTGAGATTCTGCGGGCTCTGGAAAGCCGGTAATTAAATATACGCTTATCAATTGAAAGATCTCGACCAGGGTAGGGTCGCAAAAGATAGGTTTTAAGAGGAAATGCCTCAGCTCCAACAATTACATATGGCATTGGACCTAATAAGAAGAATAAAGTTAATGGTTTTAGTAGATGGATAATTAGAGTGGAATAATATAACAATTTTAGACCTAACAGGGGACAGCATGCAACACTAGGACCCATGACAGGAATTGAACCTGTGGCCCTGCGATTAAGTTCAATCGAGTGAGATGCAGAAAAACCATATTGAGTTTACCTTACCTAATAAGGAAGCCCCAGGCAGATCAATAGGAACATGCAGATTAAGTTTGGATCTCTGCCAGCCTTTGACCCAGTAGTGAATTTGAAAAAAATCCCTCCATCACTATTAGATCCATAACTTCCAATATCAATGACTGTAAAACAGTAATCGGCATCAGCTAAAGCCATTAAAACCATAGAAAATGTCCCTTTGTAATTGAAGTATAGGGAACCTGAATTAGGTGGAGCTTGAAATGTAATGTGCTTGCCATCTATAGCCCCCACACAGTTTGGAAAATTCCATTTATTCTTGAAACTTTCAGCCAAAGGTTGCCATTCATTCTCAGTGGGGACCTTCATGCACTGATTTACCAGGCATGTCCAAATTGCGTGACACGTTTCTGACACAATACTGCCAACAGTGGATGCACCAACACGATAACTAAATCCAATGGTTTTATATGAATCACCTGTCGCCAAAAATCTGGAAAAATATTTAATAATTAATGAAGAAAATGAAAAAGAATTCCATCTTTAATTTCTGAACCAGGCCAATTTATATCAAACTGTTATTCAATGATATAAAATTGGCCAAATAAATTATTAAACAAGTATAAAACACCTTCATTCAGAATGAAAGCTGTTATTAAATGTTATATTCATATATAGTTTAGTTTATATGAACAGCATACAAATGCCCCTACCCCTGGAAGGCCCAAGAAAAAAACCCCTGCAAATGCCACACAGTCTTAATTTTTTTTGCAATGTTGACAACCAAACCTTATACTACAGTTTCTTCTTTGTCAGTAAATTATTTATAGTCTCCGAGAGGCCAGAGTGGGACATTTATTGCCATTTTTGGCATCACACAACAAAAATAATAACCTGTTAAATGAGTTGTTTTTACCTAAAGCAGATAGCCAATCTCTGTTGTGGACTTATAGGGTTCCTGTAGTTTGTGGTCTGTTTACAAATATGAGGACCAACGATATGCAACAAGTTATCAAATGTTTCGGGTGTCATTCTGAAGTACTGGAAAAACCGCTGTTCATCTAGCCGAAGTTCCTGTACGAGACGATGAAATTCCCCAAGTTGTTGCCTTCGTCCCAAGATTGGATGAATCCACACAGTCCGTCTTCGACGCAAACGCCGGTGGAGCAGTAAAAGTAACAACAATTCGTCTTCGTAGTCCTCAGCATCCGCCACGTTTGTTTCTCCCAATTTCTGTTTGCCGTAAAAAAACCGCGTCAGGTCTGTACGCGCACTTTCCTGCGAATTTCATGAAATCGCGCCGCGTCCGGTGAGATGTAAAGCTTTAATAATAATCCACCTTAAGCACTCTCCTCCGCAGAGTCTGAATTATATATGATTTGTAGGGATAGTAGAGGATATTTAGTGGTGCGCGACGGAGGGGTGAGATCGATGGTTGACAAAATGTAACGAAGACTCTGCCATATAATGCGCGGTTCTCGGGTATATTCTGCGGTACTCGGGTATGGCTGAAATAAGGCAAGAAAACGACTCGGAAAGCAGCGATGTGGACATTTTAGAAGTTTCCCTTCACACTTCAAGTATCGAGGGTAAGTCGAATGAATTTTATACAATATTTATGTCGCATTTGCCGGTGTTGACGGCATGTTTTACATATCTGTATAGCGACAGTATACATCAAAGTATCATGGCTTTGTTATTGTTTTTATCTCTCCCAAAATCAACAAATAAAGCTTAAAATACCACATTTGGTACATTGCCAGTAAAAATTATATAAAAGCAGCAAGGATTCACAAAGGATGGCTTAAATATACGACGGATTAATACAAAAGATGTTTTGTAGTCGGCCCATAAAATGGCCGCCAGTATTGTGGTGTGACACTTATCCTTTAATATTTAGATTGAAGATTCTAAGCAGTGTATCCTATATTAAATACTTGGTATCTAGATGAAGATGATGGATGTTATCCAATGGCAAGCACGCCCCAAAAGGATGGCAAGAAATCAATGAGTGTGCTCTGAATTGTCCAAACGCCAAAGTGAACCTGGTTCAAAAAAGCTTCACATATCAATAGTTGACACAGGTTTGTTCTTAGTTATTAAATACTGAGTAGTATCTCTCAGTGTACATATTTTTTATAGTGATATATCTAATCTAGAAATAGTCTTAGACTAACTTAAATTTTGGAATTCAAAGCAGCATCTAGCACCAGTTCAAAGTACTAATAAATTCATGTAGTTTATATCCTTACCAAAGCAAAAGTATGGGAAAGATATGGCAAAGTTTGGGCCATATATGACCCATATGTGGGCATGATATGGGACAATATAGATATCATGTGGGATTGGTATGGTGTCTAAATTTGTTAAATATTGAGATATGGAAAAGCTATGGAAACAAACACATTGCTATTAATCCTATGGGAAATCTGTGGGGTTACTTGGTCCATAGGTGATCCATATCAATGGCATGCTTTTACATATAACCAATTCTATGGGAATTATATGGTAGTCCACACTTGGTTGTCCCATATACTTCCCATACCTATGGGAATTATATGGTAGTCCACACTTGGTTGTCCCATATAATTCCAATGTATGGGAATTATATGGTAGTCCACACTTGGTTGTGCCATATACTTCCCATATCTATGGGAATTATATGGAGTCTGAACTTGGTGTGGTTCTGGCCTCCAATAGAGAATCCATACATATGCATATGATTTCTATGGCAATGCTATGCCAACACTTACGAAAATTTCCTATAGGAATTCCTATGAGAAATGAAATTCCTATAGGATTTGAAAATTCCTATAAGAATTCATATAAGATTTGAAAATGGTGAAAAAATTCCTTTAGGAAAACGAAATTCCTATATATATACTAATATACATATAGGAAATAAAAATTCCTATAGGAATTCCTATAGGTTGGAAAATAAATTTATTCTAACATTAATTAAATGAATAATTACCGCAATGTGCGCGACCAACAGACTGGTGTCTAGTTTTTTGCAACACGCACAAAGCATCTTGGGATAGGTCATCACACCTCCGATATTTTATAAATTTTTTGTTTGTGAATGCTTTATATGTTCAAAATAGAACTATTTTTGATGAGATTCAACTGGATTTTCACTAGTAATACATCAGCGATGTTTGTATAATGTTCAGGTGAGCATATGTTTATATTTTGTTTATAATAAAGCAAATTATAAAGGAATACCTAATCCAATATTCATTCGTGAAATTCGAGCATGTGTTTCGATCGGTTTAAAATTTGAATTT